CAGAATGGAGTCAAAGATCAGAATGGTGTTGGTTTATGTGTGGTGTTGGGATTTTGATTCTGAAGTTCTTTTTTCTTATTTTGGAATTCAGATGGCATTTAATCCAGAATTTGGTAAAACAATTCTAAATTTACAATCTGGTCTTTGATTTATTTATTTTGACATTTGCCAAATGTTCAGCAATGTAGCTATATATGACATTTTCCAAATGCACAGCCATTTAGGAGTTTTTTCTAGCTAATTCAGTAATAAACTAGACCATGCCTATTTGTTTGTCCCCTGAAATATGTGTCGATTTGTGGATCTTAGACCATGCCTATTTGTTCGTCCCCTGAAATATGTGTCGATTTGTGGATCCCTGTTTTTTTCTCATCATGTCGCTGTTATAAATAGTTCAGCATCACAGGGATTTTAGCTTTGAATAAATATATCCCTCTGTTGTTTTCTGTGGTGCCTACCTGTTTGCGTCATGCAATAGAGTATTCACCCTATCTGTGTATTGCTTGGCTGGACTTTGATGCCCAGGAAATCATTGTCAACAAGGACACTACGAATATAGTTTTTTTTTTTCAATTAAGCACTAGGAATACATTGGGTTCAGTATATATATACTCTTCGGAAGTAGCTATAGCCTATATGAGATATTCAATGGTGATTCGATAAGGGCAGTTTAGGTTGTAGTTTTGTTCAGTTCGAGCTATTCATATACTGGATCTTTATACAAGTACTTACCTTGGATTATATTTTTCATTGCATTTTTAAGCTGAAAAAATTAGTAGTGTGCGTATACTACCTTTAAGTATTATATTGTTGCGGCGATAAAGTACAATGCAATTTATCTATTTGTTATATGGATTTGGTCAAACCGATAAAATTATGAGAGTGATTTCTCATTGAATACATCATCATCCAAATTGACATAGCTTCTTGTACTTTTAGTTGACATCCAACTTATGCTTTGTGCAATGGTAATTTTTTCCCTTATTAAAATGTAAGATTTGGTTTACACATATTTATTCATGACACCTGGATATGGAAAATGTCTTGCATTAATAATGTGAACTGATGTATTGAAAGGAACATTTTTTTCAGATTATTATTGAATTTATGAAAAAAAAACTTTTAGTTAACATCCAACTTCTGCTTTGTGCAGTGGTAATTTTTTTCCTTTATTAAAATATAAGATTTGGTTTACACATATTTATTCATGACACCTGGATATGTAAAATGTCTTGCATTAGTAATGTGAACTGATGTATTACCTAAAGGAACATTTTTTCTGTTTATTACTCCCTCCGTCCCAAAATACAACAACTTTTAGTCCTCATAATTTGTCCCAAAATATAACAACTTCTCTACCAACATTCTCTTCCTAACCAATCACAACCCTCTGCCATTCACTTTTCCCACCTACCTCCACTACTCATCCAATCACAACCCTCTCCCATTCACTTCTACCTACCTTCTTAATAACCGTGTCACACTTTAAAACTTCTTATATTCTGGGACAGAGGGAGTAGTGAATTTATGAAAAAAAAAAAATATTAGATGTTTAGTGTAATTGGGGGCTTCAATATGTATGCTACAGTCACTTTAACTCCAATATCAGATGTTCAGCATCATTTCGTGTTAATTTTATCTTTACTGATTTCTCATGGCCACTAACAGTTATGAATCTCATCTCTGAAATGATGAAATTTGTGTTTGTCATGAAAAATTATCATAGATGACAAACTATTCAGAAAAATGCAAGTGATTTTCACTTCTACATATGTAGATGGATAATTGTTGGGTGCGGGTTTATTTCCACAGCATTTGCTTTTGTGAATTTGGCATAGTCTTGGTTAATATGGAGAAATTTGGTTAATCTTGACATCTAAAGTATAGTACCTTGATAATAAATGCGCTTGAGTGTATGGATTTATGTGGGCTCAATTGAATGATTCAGAGAGCAAAATTAACATTTCATCCTTTACCCCCTCTTTTTTCAATTAATTATATGAAAACAAAAGATTCATTAGATGTGTTATACATCACTGAAGCGCATTTATCAATTTATTTTTTAGCTTTACTGTGCATGGATTTAGAAATAGAATTGTTGCCAGAAGCAAGGGGATTTTTTTCGAAAGTTGCTGCACTTCCAAAAAATTCTGTTAAGTGGTGACGGGATGAAGGTGGAAGAATATTTTTTTATCTTCAGCCATTTGATTCTGATGTTTCCTCATTTGATTCTGGCAATTATCATATGAGGTGTATCAAGAGGTGTGGCACGCACTTCCGACCCACACGGCCCGTGTGTCGCAAACGCTGCCAACGGCCGTGGCACGTGTTTCTTTCTCTTTTTTTCTCCTTTTTTTGGGAAAATAGGCGCTAGTTTTTGTTTTTTTTTGGGAAATCTATCCTTTTTTTCTCTACACGCGCGCGTGATTTTTGTTGCGACTTTTATAAACTGAATCTTTCACCTTCAATATCAGTTTGAGAGTTTTGAATTTGATTTGAAAGTTTCTTAAATTAAAGTTGAATGTTTTGAATTTTGAAATGAAAGTTTTTAAATTTAAATCAAATATTTTGAATTTCGAGGTGAGAGTTTTTAAATTTGAGTTAAAAGTTTTCAAACATGAGTTAACTTTTCAAATCTTGACTTGAATTTTTTTAATTTTGATATGAAAGTTTTCGAATCCAAGTTGAAAGTTTTCAAGTCTGAACTGAAAGTTTTCAAATCCGAGTTGAAAGTTTTCAAATCCGAGTTGAATGTTTTTAAATCCGAGTTGAAAGTTTTTAAATCTTGACTTGAAATTTTTCAAATCCGACTTAAAAATTTCAAAAAATCTTGATTTGAATGTTTCAAATCTTTACTTAAAGGTTTTCAAACCTACGTTGAACTCTCCGTAATTATCCCAATTTTTCGCGTACTAAAATAATAATACTAATTAGGGTAATTAATGTTAATGATGGTAATTAGCGGGATGCGCTAATCACGCGCGGGCGTGGGGGAGGGCGCACGGCTGCACGAGTTAAGCAGCCGGCGCAAGTGCCCCCCTTAGGAACCCCCGTGTCAAGGCAAACAACAAGGATAAATGTGCATTGTCAAGAGGTGTGTCAAGGGCAAGGCAAACAACAAGGATAAATGCGCAAACAACAAGGATAAATGCGTACTGTCAGGAGGTGTGTCAAGGCAAACAACAAGAATTTTGGCAAAGTCAAAAAAAGAAGTCGACCCCACAGGGAAGAGCACTAGGAATATCGTGTATAAAAACGTTCTTAACTGGTGAGCAAAGGTAGGCTCGCATGATCAAAATTAATTCAAAAACATATTCTAGAAGATAGTAAATTGCTGATCGAAATGTTACTCATCGACATCCTCTTGTTTTGTACAGCACGCCATCACCTCAGGTGGAATATTGCATGATTATCTTCTTCACACCATCGTGTTCTACATGAGTCAGTTTGCACCATGCTGATAATATGTTAACACTTGTGTCTCTCTAAATATGCACTTTTGCCATCGATTAATTTTAGTAGTCATTCCATATAGATCTTGAAAGAAGACGTTAATGAGATGACCAACAATTGTTATATTGTTGTACATTGTGAAATTATTCAAACTGTTATTTGGGTTTATATTCACACCCTCATGTTATCATCAATGGGCTGCAACAGGCGTGTGCCTTGTGTGACAAATAGAAAAAATCAATATTTTTTTAAGTACATAACACAAAAAGAAAAAATGAATGGAATTGACCTAAGAGAACATTAGAATTTGTGACATGCGGAAAATATATTTTCTTATACTCTATATATTTTTCTATTCGTGACATCCGAATCCATTCTAAGGTTTTATTAAAGATGAATATAATTGCACTGTAGCGTTTAGCACATGCATATTACTAGTATTGATAGGGCAAGAAGGTATTACATATAGAGGGGTTCTGATGTGAACTGTAACCGAAAATCTTTGGCTGTATCGGGCAAGGTTTGCATACCAAAAAATAAGGGTGGCTTGGGGGTTATAAACCTTTCTATACAGAATCAGGCACTTCTCTTGAAATACCTGGACAAGTTCTATAATAGAAAAAAATCTACCTTGGGTTAATTTAATTTGGAACCCTTATTATGGGAATGGAGTGAGCAATCTCAAAGGTTACTTTTGGTGGAAAGATGTTTGCAAACTGATGGATCTTTCCATGGGCATTGCTAGATGTATGGTGGGTGATGGTGTCGCTTGCTATTTTTGGGAAGATGTTTGAGTGATAAACCTCCTTTGTCTTTCCATATGTAAAGATTATTCTCTTATGTTGCTAATGCAAAGATATCAGTCAGAAATTTTTGATTTGGAGGAAAATTTTCATCTGCCTCTTTTTGCGCAAGCTTTTCAGGAGTTGCAACCCTTGTTAACTCTTTTGGAGAGTGTCAATCTTTCTCAGGATAATGATGTTTGGGTTTACATTTTGGGTAATCTGAAATATTCTTCTCAGAAATTTTATGCCCTTAACTTCAGAGCTTTACAACCACCCTCTCATTTCCTTTGGTTATGGAAGTGCAAAACTACTTCTAAAGTTAAAGTCTTTGGTTGGTTGCTGCTGATGAATAGACTGAATACCTAGATCACAAACATTGTGCGCCACCCAATTGCGATCTTAATTGTGTTCTTTGTTCTGCTCATATTCTGGAAGATCTGTTGCATTTGTTCTTCCAATGGCCTTTTGCTCAATTCTACTAGGCTATGCTGGGTATCTCTCGGGACACTACCCTGCATACAAAGAATAGTTACCAAGGCAAGTGTTTCATGGAGAAGTTTCTATATGGGGCTTGAAACATCTGGAAGCAAAGGAATGGTTCCATTTTTTACTAAAAAATCTCCTCTTTGGAGGCAGCTATTTAAGGGTGATCTCCTCCTTCTGCTGTTTCGTCTTATTGAGAGAGACAAAGATGCAGCTATCAATTGGATTGCTATGTTGTAATATTTTTATACCTCTCTTTTTATTAATAAAATTTATTAACAGTGGGGGCCTCCCCTGCCGTATTTCTTTAAAAAAAGAGAGAGGAAATTATAGTGTAGTTATAGTTTAATTATGCAATGTCTAAACTTTGTACCGTGCTTCATGTAATAGGTAAAGAAATGCTTGATTGATGCTAATTTAGTGTTTAACCATACTGTTTGTTTGCAAAATTACGGGAAATAAAGTCTGAATTAGTTTCATCGATTAACCATGTCGTAGTGTGCAAACAAAATCCTTTGAGGCCTAATCTTTTCTTTGGGTACGTATCCTGTGGTGGAAAAAAATCCGACAGATTTCTGTTCCGTTTTCTGTCGAAAGTTATTTTAAATGTTCATTTTCTAATCAAACGTTCGATTAGACAGTCTGGCCGGTTCCAGAATGGACAGAGAGATAAATTAAGCAGTGACCGGACCGGACGCATCACTCGATGGCGTCCTTGAGGGTGTTGCCGATGTCGATGACGAAGCGGTACCTGACGTCGGCCTTGGCGAGGCGCTCCATGGCCGTGTTCACGTAGTCGGCGCCGATCACCTCGATCTCCGCCGTCACGCCGTGCTTCGCTGCCAGGTCGATCATCTCCTACGTGTCCGCCATGCCGCCGATGCAGCTCCCGGCCAGCGTCTTGTTCGCTGCAACATGCATGCCACAGACAGAATGTAATGGATCACAACACAGAGCAGCTAGCTAGCTAGTAGCTAGCTGTAATGGATCCGGATCAAATTAAGCACTTACAAGCAACCAGAGCGAAGGGAGGGATCTCCATGGGCTTCTCCGGCAGGCCGACGAGGATCATCTTCCCGTTGGGCTTCAGCAGACCCAGCAGCGGCGCGATCGGAATGTTGGCAGACACCGTGTTGATGATGCCGTCCATGGTGCCCGTCGCGGCATTCATCTCGTCGGCATTCTTGGAGACGACGAACGCGTCGGCGCCGAGCCGCTCCAGCGCCTCCTGCCTCTTCCCCGGCGACGAGCTGATCACCGTCACCGTCATCCCGAACGCCTTGGCGAACTTCACCGCGACGTGGCCGAGCCCGCCGAGGCCAAGCACGCCGACGTGCTTGCTGGGGACGTTCAGGCCGTGGTACTTCATGGGGCTGTACACGGTGATGCCGGCGCAGAGCAGCGGCGCGCCCTTGTCCAGCGGCATGGCCTCCGGGAACCTGACCACGAAGCGCTCGTGCACCACCACCATGCTCGAGTAGCCGCCGTAGGTGACGGTGCCGTCCTTGTCGACGGAGTTGTAGGTGAAGATCACGCCTGGGCAGTGGTTCTCCAACCCCTGGTTGCAGCTGTCGCAGGAGTGGCACGAGTTCACCATGCACCCGACGCCCACCTTGTCGCCGCCCTTGAACTTGGTCACGTTCTTGCCGGCCTCCGTCACCACGCCGGCGATCTCGTGCCTGCGCCATCGAGTGCATGTTTGTTTGATCAGAATTAATTCAGAATAATGCATCGTACTCCCTCCATTCCAAATTGATCTACATATAGTTTTTTTTTAAGGTTATTCCTAAATTATCTGCATATTTGTATTTATTCATTAAGTCTATTCGTTATTTATGCATTGGAGTAAATGGGCATTGATGCGTGCATCCATGCACATGGATGCACACAAGTATTTATAACACACATGCAATATCTTAATTTGCTATTAGTTAGAAAATAGTGGTGATGGTACATGCATCGAGTTTGTTGTTAGAGTAAATATAGTATGAGAGAGTTATTAATTTTTCTTGGTTTTTGTGTACCTATAAAATATGTAGATCAATTTGGAATAGAGGGAGTATGTAACAACGTACAAAACCTGTTTGTAAAGCTAGCTTGCTTAATTAATAATTACCCAGGAACAAGTGGGTAGGTGGCGTTCTTCCACTCGTTCTTGATGCTGTGCAGGTCGGAGTGGCAGATCCCACAGTAAAGAATCTTTATCACCACATCATCATCTCCAGTGCTCCTACAGATTTTCAAGTAATTAGCACAAACGCTATTTATATTGTTGATTAAAGAAAAACTCTACGCACAGGCACCAACTACTAGACGGCGCGTCTTTTGTAAAACTTTGTTCATCATTATTTTCTTTGTATGTTCTTAAATCATTTTTCAGCTTTTCAATATCAATATTATTATTTATGCTCTCAAATTATTATCATCTTTAAAACGAGGCCTAAAAACGTACTCAATCTAAACTCTGGCATAAAAGGCAAATCGTATATGGCTAGGAATTATACAGATTGTGACAATAGTCGAAGAAATACAACCCATCACACGGTAAAGTCCTAGGTGCAACGCTACCAGTGCACTAGATATGAACAGAGAGACAATGGCCAATTACTGTGCATATACAGTTGTACTCAACACATCGTACCTCTAAAAGTCCAAACAGTACGTACTACAGAAAATGACAGATCCAAGAGACCAAGACTACGAGGTGATCGATCTGATCACGTAATCACAAACAATGCGGTTTGGATTATGTGTCAACATAAGCCTCCCGGTGCATGTACCTCACAAAAGAACAGTGCAAAACCACATGTTGATCGATTTTGGTGTGTAATAGGTTGGACTGCCACTAGATCGACAAATTAAACCGTCGCATGAAGGGACGTACGTGATAGTATCATCCTACTATGCATGCACCCTAAACAGCAGTACGACTACCTACCTACCTATCTACTAGTATCTATCTATCTATATCATATATTATTCTGATTATTTTCTAGGACAAACAGTACTAAAATATAATTAAGTTGTTGCTGAAATAAGTTTATTTCCTATAAATTAATTTGTGTGATGCCAAGAAATTAATCCCAAGGTCAGAACCTGGATTGGATATTTTTGTTTCCGTCGCAAAATATAACATAGCCTTTAAAATTTATCCCAAAATACAATTTCTCCACCAACAATCCTTTATCAACCAATTATAACCCTTCACCATTTAATTTCCCCATGTACCTGCACTTCTTAATCAATAATAACCTTCCACCATTTAATTCTATGTGCCCAAATCTAGATGGAGGTAGTACCATGTACTACGACATGTCGGCAAAATCGAACGAAACAAGCCTGAACAGAATCATGAACTATCATGAATATCGATGGGAATAGAGGTTTCAACAGAATCATCCATCTCCACGCACGCCAACGCCGCCGCCGCTGCCGTGCTCACGAACGGTATTCCCTACTCGGTCCGGCGCCGGCGCCGCTCACGAACGGCATCACGTGTACGAACGGAACAGCGCTAGCTAGCCCCTCGCAACATTACACTACTATCTAGAGAACCCTATCTAGATATATATAGGAGTATAATTGAAGTTTCACCTGCGGGAGATGGTGAGCGGGGAGAGGTGGCCGGACGCGTCGCGCGCTGCCAGCCCCGCCGCCGCCGTGGGAGCCATCGATCGATCGAGAAGACAGCAAGAGAGAAACCGACCCGATCCGATGTCATCGTGTTCGTGCTTGCCGGGCGGTGAGATCAGAATCCGGCGTGTTTTATAGCCTCGCGCGCTAGATGCGCTCTCTCCCGCGCAGGCCCCACAGCCCCGATCGATCTGCGCCGTATGTGGGCCGCGCGAGCCCAGCAACGCTCCAGATGAGAATTTTTAAAATTTTTAATTTTACTAGAAAAAATACACGTGTGTTGCAATGGGTGAAGATTATTTTAATCTTATTATTATATCGAGTTAAGATGAAATTCACTGTGTTAAATTCGCTTGGATATATATTTTGTTAGAAAATCATGAGCTGCAATTAGGTGTCCGAACGTCTCAAGTTAGTAGTATGTGAGTTTTTAAAGAGATTTCTTGTACGATTTCTTCTGTATTTTTAAAAGCGAACGAATTTAAAAACTGACTCAAATACGGATTTGTATTTCTAAAATCAAACGGATTTAAGAACCGACTCATACGCGGATGACGTACTGACAAAAACATTTTTAATTTTTATAATAGTAGAGATAGAGATATAATAGTAAAGATAAAGATATATGTGCGCAGTAGCTTGATTGAATATTTCTCTGATTAGGTTTTTGTATTTCTCTTGGCAACCGTCATCGATCGGCTGTTGTTGCTGATCGTCTTGCTGCACGCGTGGATATTCAATATGTGGGTAGTAATAGATCTCGGCTTTGATATCGCTCCTGAACTTTTTTTTTAATTTTTTTGGAACACGTATACACAGCAGACCGTATTGAATTGAGTTTCTGATGAACACGGTAGGAATTCTTCTCGATACAGTGTGTGCGTGTAGAGAATAATCAACAATGGTACGTCGTGCTGCTTGCCTCGGCGCACGGCAACACACCTGACTGCTGCTGGTTGGTGTTGATATAGGTGCGCAACAGCAGGTCCCAAACCGTGTTGCCCAACAGACCGTATCGGCAAGATGACAACCTCGCGGAGGCGGTTGGTTTGTGACAATGCACAGGACAAAACGCAATCGGCCAAAGGCACGATCCGAACATGCAAATTTTCTTATGGAAAATCTAATGTTTAAAGCTCGTACATGTTGGACACATAAAATAGTTAAATTGGCAGTGATTATATGCGAGGCCGATTCGAACACGATGACTTACCAAGCCACCGGCAAAAACATTTTCAATTTTTATAACAGTAGAGACTAGAAAAGATGTCCGTGCGTTGCAACGGGTGAATGCTATTTAAATCTTATTATTGTTATACGGTTTAGCTAAGGTGAAATTTACTGTGAGAATTCGTTTGGATATTTTTTTTAGAAAATCATGAGCTGCAATTAAGAGTTCGACACTCATCTCAAGTTAGCATGCGTGTTTTTTAAAAAGATTCTTATACGACCCCTTTTTATTTCCAAAAGCAAACGAACTTAAAATCCAACTTAAGCATAGATCTGTATTTTCAAAAGCGAACGAACTTAAAATCCATCTCAAACACGGATCAGTATTTCCAAAAGCGAACAAACTTAAAAACCGACTCAAACACGGATGACGTACCAGAATACCGGCAAAAACATTGTTAATTTTTATAATAGTAGAGACTAGAAAAAATACCAGTGCGTTGTAACGGGTAAATACTATTTTAATTTTATCATTCTTATACGGTTTAGTTAGGGTAAAATTCATTTTGGGAATTCGTATGAATATTTTTTTTAAAGAAAATCGTGGGCTGCAATTATGAGTTTGTATTTCATCTCAAGTAATGTGAGTTTTTTTATTAAGATTTCTTATACAACTCCTTTTGTATTTTCAAAAGCAAACAAGACTAAAATGCAACTCAAACACAGATATGTCTTCCCAAAAACGGACGGACTTAAAAACGACTCAAACACAGTTGATGTACCAAAATACCGACAAAAATATCTTCAATTTTTATAATAAGTAGGGATTTATTAAAATACTAGTTAGGTGCCCGTGCGTTGCAACAGGAAAAAAACTATAGCACGAAACAATACATCAAATATTTTTAATATGTTTAAAGTAGAAAGTGTCAATAGATGCATGTTGCACCATAAAGTACATCAAAAAATATTTGTGCAGCAATTCACGGGAAATGAATACAATGCCCTATTTTAGACATCATCCCAAGGCATTTCTACACATGATTTTCTCACAATTGATCAACACCCAAACTCTCTTTGAACATGGCTCTAAAGATGAACCACACTCACTTCGTTGTGCAAAGCACAACTGCATAGGAGGCAGTTAGCACATATGCCCGTACTGATCCAGCTCACAGAAACTGCCCGATCTATTATGTTTCCTTTGGAAAACAATATGTCAATCCTATAGAAGTGGAGAAAAATAATTGTAAATAATATATGTAAGAAACAAATTATTTTTTTTGCTCATTTACATAGTAGGTGGCACGGAAATATATAAGAATGCGTAAAAACAATTTATATTGATGTGTATATAATCGGATGTACCGAAATATATAAAAATGTGTACATAATCAGATGGTGGAAAGGGCGTACTTGCAGCACATCATCTTCAACTCATTGTACTTAGCATGCGGATGAGGAGGTTGCACAACCAATTATAAGTGATGCACTGCATATGTACTTTTTCATCTCTCTGACAAGGCCACGCAAAAGCTTGGCCCTAATTGCACTGATGAATAAAAGGCAAGGACGCAAGGTAACCAAATCTAGAACCACTAATAAACAATATCCTTATTTGTTAAAAGATCAGAAAGTAAATTATACTCATAATAATAGTTCAGTTCTTCAGTAATTTATCTCCAAGATTCAGTCTCACTATATTTCACAATGTTGTTAAGGTTTAATTTCTTCAGACCCTGAGATCAAGTATAATTAATTTCTTAGATCTTATAAAGCACCCATGGATCAAAATATCAGTATTACTTAGATCTTGTAGTGACATGCCAGAATAATATATTCATAAAAATAGGCCAACATTGATTATATTTTAGTGCAATGAAATAAAATATTCAATGTCCTATAGTTATATTATATATAGAGCAGGTGATGCATAGTTAATTAATGTCTTTCCTATTAAGTTATCAGAAAATTTAACAAAAGAATACTGGAAACTGGAAAAGGGTTTCATGGATAATGCACCAATTAAAAAAAAACTCGAAGTCAGCTGTTACCTTACCTGAATCGGAATGCAAATCAAGCCCTGCTTCTTGTTGCTTAATTGCAAAATATAGGCTTCTGTGAGCCTTTTGAGCCAAGGAATCAAAGTAAGAGGAAATTATGTATATGTAGGTCCAGAGTTAAATGAACACAGTTATTCAACCGATGTGTCATGTGCTATCAACGAGCATGAGCTGAACTCAAATCTTACAGATCATCAATCCAAAATACTTGCTGCATCTTGCTTAATGTATAGCCAAAAGTCTGCACAGCGTAATAACTTGTGCTAGGGTGTCAGGAAAGTGCACGAGTCTCCTTATGGATGGAAGTTAAAGAGACATTAACTGGGATTCTTCATGTGCTCAGCCTGCAAAACGCATACGTCCCTGCCATTGCAAAAACGACAAACAAAATATTCAGAACCAAAGTGGATCATTCGGCCATCTTGGCCAAAACATGAACATGTTTGGAATGACAATTTTCAAGAACAATGGAAGTCAGTAAGATAGGAGAATATCTTACCTGCACTTCAATAACTTCAATGCTAAACTCAGCTGCATAACCTTCCTGGCTAATTAGATGAGCGCATCTTCTATGCTCTTCCAGTTCAGCTTTCCCTTTTCAAACAAGGTCTTTCATCTTACTTGCCTTCAGTTGTTCGAACCTTAACAATGAAAAACAATGCATATGCCACACATATTGATTAACTTTAGTACATTGTACCCAAATACTCGCTGCCAAACAATATTACCAAAAATTACCTTGTCATTCATGAAATGTGTTTAGAGAACATGTGCATAATGACAGGTACCGTCATTCATATTTATTTACTCCACTACTGAACAGTAATTTTGTAAATTATTTAAGAAACATATGCATATATGAGGGATGAAAGAGAACAACCGAATTTGCATTCTCCAACTGATTTTGCATATCCTGAAGTATATTATCTTGGGGTGGCCATTCGCACATAATATCTCATATCTACATTATTGAAAGTGTATCTGAGAATATTTGGAAATAAGAAATTATTCCGAGAAGATACTTTTAAAAGAATGATAGTATACTGCATGCAACATCATATTGCACAGTGCCCCCATACACACTGCAGGATACCTAAGATTTTCACTAATTTGACTTCCATGGCGCTCCCTTTATTTTTGAACATTTAGAAGTTAAACTATTCAAGGAATTTGATTACTCTCAGATCAATGTTCGGGGCAGCAGAAAATGGCACACATGTAAAAATATATAGAAACATATCAAACTCTCTGAAGGCACCACAAGAAAAACATTTTAATCGCTCACCAGGCAATTTCAGAAATGTTTACACTTGTAAAGACTTCATATATTTTTTTTTTGTAAAGGCTTTAAGTGTGCTTTTTTTTCGCTAATGTTGATAGAGATAGCTTTTCTTGAGCTCATTTTTGTTGTACTCACAGCACACAAATAGTCATTTTGTTTAAAAATTCAGAACTATATCTAATAGATGGGAGAACCAGTGACATATATGTTGATCGGTTGATTTCAATTGGTGAGGCACTGTTGCTCTAAAATCAGGTTGGAAGTTGAAAGAAGTGATTCTCACAAGTGAATCAAGCATTTGCGCCGCTATCTCGTGGTAGACTGAAGAATGATGGCCTGTCTTCAGTCTGCAACTCTGCATGCATGCTGCATCCATGGTCTTCACTCTGCGAACAAAATAGGCCGATAATGCTTGCTACAGTACTGTTTAGTCCCAAGCACTCAACTAAAACCTGGAGAAATTCCACCTAGAAAGTAAAGTAGATATAATTTAGGAATATAATTCACCATGAAATTTCAAACAGCACGAGGAAAAAGGCCTGACCACAAATCAAGCAAACAGGGAAAAAGAAAAACTGACAGAAAAAAGGGAGTACTCCTAGATCACTCGGCATGGTAGCACCAAGACACGCTATTGTTCTCATGGCGAGCGGAGGCGGCTGCAATCGCACATACGGTGCTCGAGGTAGCGACGGCGCCCGCGTGTGATGCAACGCATATGGCACCGTCTCTCCTCCTCCTCCTCCTCCTCTTTCAAGGACTCCACGGCGACCTCTGGCCGGCCCTCTAGGGAGGCAGCGACCTCGGAGAAGGTGGAACCGGCGCAAGGTTTAAAGGCGACAGGTCAGCGAGGCGCGGCAGCGGGGGGAGCGGGAGGAAGTGGGGTCTCGTGCGACGTGCGGTGGCGCTTGAGGGTGGAAGCGGCGGCGGGTCAGGGAGGCACGGCGAGGAGGAGGAGGAGGAGGAGGACGAGGGGTCCTCTGTCTCCAGCACAAGCAGGTCGTGGCGCCATCCCCAGTTTGTTCGCTTTGCTAATAAACGCATTTGGCACATTTGGATCCATCTTGAGGAGAAGGAGAAGACATCAAACTACCAAGGGATGACGGCGGCGTCGTGGATGCGGGCGCCGACAGTGGCGGCGAGGAGCAGATCGGCAAGGTAGGTGTGTGCGACGAACTGGCGACGGGAGGGCTTCCGGGGATCTGTCGAGGGCGAGCCGGCGTGATGGAGACCGTGAGGCGCGACGGGAGGGCTTCAAGCGGCGGGGATGGGTCGAGGGAGACCGGGAGGCGGGAGCTGGGGAGGGGTCAGCGGCGCCGGGGGTGGAAGAGTGGAGCGGGCGCGGCGATGTGGGGATGCGCGAAGATGGATTGGGGGCTTCTGTTGCGCTGATTTCGGATCGCTTCTGTTGCGCGTCGCTGTGAAGCGTTCGTTTTTTTTTTTTCACGGTCACGTGTCTACGTTTTTAAGTTGGATCATGAGTCTACATTAGCTTCACCATCACCACTACAGATCTTTTAAGTAGTAGAATTGTTGTGGCTCTATGGTTTTAAGCGGTAAAGTTAGGCTCGTCTCAACGGGAATTAGAAAACCAGCGAGTTTCCGAACCTCGGGTGAAAATTTTCTTCTCTCTTGTCTCATTTATTTATTGTATTTACCTGTGTGCAATTTACATTCATAATGACGTACTTGAGACCCTATCACCTTAGGATTGTAAAACATAACCTAGTTGCTTAGTTAGTCTTACCCTTCACCAAGCCTAGCAACTCAGGTTAGTTTTAATTAGGCGCTATTTATTTTTAGGGTAATTTGGAACCATGCCATTATAATTTTGCAAAGTTTGAGATATGTCATCGGTATCTCAATGACATGTAGGACCCACATGAGTCAATGGCATGTGGGTCAGGATGGCATATCTCGATTTTGCAAAATTATAATGGCATGGTTCCAATTTTCTCTTATTTTTAATATCGTCTATTCACCCCCTTCTAGTCGACATCTCGATCCTACAACTACGTCGATTAAAATAATGTATTCATTCTGACAAGGTGATAGGGGGCACAACTATTTACACGGAGTGACCAAATCGCTATCGTTTCTCTTCCATTCTTCTTCCCCCCCACCCCAGTGTTGACGGAACAGAGGAGTCAGCATCGAGGTGGTGGCCTAGAGGGGGGCTTTTAACTATTTGCCACTCTTACGAATGTTGCTTAACGATTTGTCACTAGGCCCAGATGTCATAAACACATGAGGGCCCACATGTCATTGACAGGGTGTGGCAAATAGTTAATTGCCATATCACAAGAGTGGCAAATAGTTAAATTTCCCGCCTGGAGGAGGTGGGGTGGCAGATCCGTGGGCGAAGCCTCTCCCGCGTCATCGACACACTACCTCGCGTTGTGGGCGCATCAATAACAACCACCGCTGCTAACTTTGGTCTGTGCACTGCATGCCTCTGACGGGCCCCTCTTCGCCGCGTTTGCAAGGGCCGCCTTCGGGTACGCCGTCCTTTTGATGCAAACCATTCAGGCTAGGCTTCGCCAGCTCTAAATCAGTCTTGGCAGCACGGCGTCGTCTTCTTCCGCCTCCATCACCGCATGGCACCCTAGCTCTGCCTAGCACTCCTTGCCACCGCTTCTCCGGATCGAGGATAATACCGCCTTCTCCGTCATCCTCTTCAGTTCCAATTCCGGCCAGCGCCCTCTCTTGCAACCGCGCCATCAACCGGCTCATCCTCGGCTTCCACACAGACCCCATCGACCACCCCACCAGCTCACCACTCGACGTGTCGATCTTCTTCACCCCGACTCGTCCATGTCGCTCCACCTCGCCTCCTCCAAGCCACCTTGAATCCACCTCGATATCGGCTCCCAGAAAGGGGAAATGAGAAAGAGGGAAATGAGAAAGAGGAAGAAGATGACAAATGGGGCTAGAGGTACTTTGACCTTTCACGATGTTTATCTCTCTTAGTGAACTGAAAATTAATATTTTAATGTGGACGGGATACAACAGCAAATAATCACATGTTGGATGTGTCTTTTTCCAAAGATCGATTTTTACCATGTTCTAGAGCTAAAACTATGAAATCACGATTTACCTAATATCATACAGTAAAATTTACCTAATATGATACAGTACTTTATATTATGCATACGAAAGCACCGGGCAGACAGATGCAACGAGCAAACCACAGGACCACAAAGTCCACAGCATCTTATCTCTACACGTCCCAGTCACCCACCCCACCTATCATCGTTTCATCGCCATCTTCATCTCACACAAGAATTCTCCTCTCTTCCCAAATCCCCCATCTTAAAAACGAGCGGAGGCGACCGTGTCAACGGCAGGGAGAGAAACCCAGGTAGGTTTGTTGTTTGTTTGGGAATGGGATGGCAATCTCGCCATTTCACTCGCAGCCACAGCCACAACAACATCAGCAAGCAAACAGCAACGCCGCAGAGCCTCTGCAAGACGCACACACGCCGTTGTACACCAACCGCACGCACTGGCCCATCCGCCTCTACGGTCTGCGCCATCCATCATCTCCTCCTCCTCCTCCGCCCACACTATCAAAGCATCAAATGCGTGCAAACTGCAAACGCCATCATATCATCCTCCTCCCAACCACTGCAACGCTTGTAGTATGCTGGGCTGCTGCCACCACCCACTCGCACAAGACCCGGGAGCGTTCGGCCTCTCTCTCAAGAGGACAGCAAGAAAGCGAAACGAAAGAATCAAAAGAATGGATCCATGGAGCCACCCAGCCATGGACGCCAGGAGAGAGAGACGTACACACACACACATCCATGTCCATGTCCATGTCCCGTATCGTCATCTCGCTTTTTTTTCCCTATGGACCATGACATCTGTGTACACAGAGAGAGGGGGTAGCTGCAGCAGCATTCACTCATGGTGGACACCTCTGACCTCTCAACCCCAACGGATTCCAAGAATGCCCCCCCTCTCTCTTCTCCTCTCCTTGGTCTTGGAGACGGAGCTGGACCGACGACGAAGCCAACGCTGCAGACAGCAGCAGCAGCAGCAGCAAGCAAGCGCCCCACTACCACTCCATTACCTGATTACCACATGCGCCACGCCATTACCACCACCCACCCTCCCTCCCTCTCCGCTACCACCGCTACTACTACAAGTCTAGAGAGAGAAACACATGAGAGATTGTTTGGTTTGGTTTGGTTGGTGTTCCCTTGCTCTCTCTCTCTATCTTGCCGTCCAGTCCGTCTACTCTAGCACCATCCATGACCATGCATGGGCCTTTTCGGGTTTTTTTGGCACCACATCCATGGGTCTCCTTCACACCTCACCACGGCGCCGCAGCTGCAGCCAGCCAGCAGCGAGAGCACCAAGAAGCAGCGGCCGCAAGAAACTTCCCTCCCCACGTCCACCTTCCCCTCCTCCTTTATTTCTATATTGTCTTCTTCTTCCTCCTCCCTTGCTTGTTCCTATCTCCTTCTACCTCTCTCTCTCCCTGGCTTTCTTGGTCTCCTGCTCTTGCGGGGCGTTTGTTGGTTTCTTCGCGGGTGAGGTGAGGCGGACATGAAGAAGGCTAAGGTGGTGTTGGCTCAGCCGGCGGCGAGGGCGCCGCCGTCGCCGCTGCTGCCGAGGGCGCCGGGGCACAGCCGTGGCGGCGGCGTTGGTGGCGGGGAAGAGGCGTACAGGGCGAGGGCCAAGTACAAGAATCTTCTCCAGGACTACAAGGAGCTCCTCGAGGTGGGTGGGTGGGTGGGTGGATTCATGGCGTTTCTTGGAGTCATGCCGTCGTGGTTGGCTTCGCCGATCTGATCTTGATTTTTGGGGGTTTTGCGATTTTTCGATCGGTTTCTCTCCGGAAGGGGGTTTTGTGATGTTTGATTTTCCTCTCGGTATTTGGGGATTTTGTGATTCCGATTGGATCTTGGCGGCTTTGTTTCTTGATCGATTTTATTTTCGGTGTTCTTGGTTTTCTGATTATTCGAGGGGTTTTCTTGGTGTATTTTGTGGATCTGGATTTTTTTTTACTTGTGACAATATTTTGGGTTAGATCTGTGGGGTTCTGAAATTTATTATCCTTCTTCTCCTAATATTGAATGAATTAGCATGTTTTGATATGTTCCAAGTCAGCTAATAAGTGTATCAGTTCATTCTGGTTCGTAGTTAAACTTTCTTCCAAGGATCGCAACTCTCTTAATCTAGGAGGATTTCCACAAATGTGGTTCTTGCAAGTTTGATGGTGTTTAGTGTCCATCTCAGTTACTTCTATTATGATGTTTGCTGATGATTAGCTGTGTTGGGTTACCCAGGAAACTGAAGCAAAGAAGAAGAGATTACAGATGGAGAAGCTCAAGAAACAGAGGCTTTTGGCTGAAGTCAAGTAAGGGCCTGAACTCATCATCTTCTCCAGTGTGATTTACATGCCTGGATGATTATGCTCTACGACAATGCAAACATGTTGATATTGTCTCATTATCCTGCGCATAATTGTGCCGCGCTGTAGGTTTTTGCGGAAAAGGTACAAATCCATGTCCGAAAATCCATCCCAGACGTTTGTCTATAGAGTAAAGAATCCGGCATTGCCGCCCACATTGCGGCAACCTGGTTGGTCTCATGGTGAAGAGTACCACACGGTTCGGGCTATCGGAAGCTCTAGCAAAGGCCCATCGGCGCACCGGAGGCTGAATGCTGCTCCAAGAGCATCTCCGGTGATTGACCTCAACGAGGCCTGCGAGCCGGTAATATTTGGGGCGAACTCGGTTAAGTTCCGTTATCTGAAGAAATTATCATCTGAATGTGGTTGAATTTGCTCTTTCCAGAGTTCAGAAGAGATGGAGGAGCTTCATGGTTACCAGGAACCTGTTAGGGTTGGCAGGGTCATGAGGTACCCAATGGAGGGTGATTTTGCCGCCGGTCCTAGTGATGCGAAAATGGCGGCATTCTGGGATGTCCGGAACGCCGCCTCCTCCCGAGCTGGGAAGAGGAAGATATCATGGCAGGATCAGTTAGCTCTCAGAGTATAGGTTAATAATAACAGTGTTGAGATAGTTGGGAAGAGGAACTGAATTTCGTTCATCCCTGTTCCTCGAGTTGTAAAAGAATCCTTAAGAGGAATCGGTGGATGGGTGTAATGCTCCTGGCACTTGTTGAGATCGTAGTCGTGTATAATCAATCACTTGTCTGTTTTGTTAGCGTGAATGCCATCTCAACAACTACTCTAGGGCTAATAGTATTTGAGCAAATGAATAATTAATACAAATGCTGTCTGATGCCTTGTAGTAGGTGCTGCAGCTGCATATGTTTATATTCTTGTAGAGCTGTAATTCATTCTTGAGCTCAATCTTGTTTTATGTAGACACTAGGGAATAGAATGGAAGTCATGGAACCCATCACCATTGTAGATTATATCCATGTGTGAATATTACTATAGTAATGTCAGCATATATGTTCACTCCATAGTGATGTTTTATATTTCTGGTAGTGGCTAATTGGCTACTGTGATGCAATGCCATGCTAGTTCTGGCAGCCATATGTGTTCTTTTTCCTGGTCTTTCATTAAGAATTAGTATTACAGTAAGATGCAGCAGTACAACTGTGGTGCTGGTTAAAACTGATGTTTAGGTAGTGTAGTTCAGCAGGATTCTAACCCCAGGAATACTGGTTCTCTGCTGATGGGTTCGCATGTGGTGGCATTATGATTTATGGCTGCTTCTACAAGTTTGTCTCATCTTGTCGCCATGATTTCGGGCAAGAGATTATTGCAATTGAAGACTCATGTCACCTACTATCATGCTGTTCCTCTCGTGTTGCTGGAATCAGTGGTAGATGCAATTCTAGTTTCAATCCTGATCCTCTCTGCAGTACTGCTCGCTATTATATGGGTTTGAGGGTCTGTGGGGCCTATAAGTCAGTGAGCCTCATTCCTATAATAAATTAATCAAAGGTAAGATGTGATATACAATTAGAATAATTTTGGATTGATTTATTTTAGTACTGAGAAACCGTATTGGACGGCATAATCATTTGACGATTATCTTAAGACATCGCCATCAATGAATTATTCGACGATGAATGGAGAATGTGCAGATTTTATCGACTCATGTAGGCTGTGTTTAGATCCAGGGTAAAAGTGTCACATCAGATATACGGATACACATTTGAAGTATTAAACGTAGTCTAATAACAAAACAAAATAGAGATTCCGCCTGTAAACTGCGAGACAAATTTATTAAGCCTAATTAATCCGTCATTAGCAAATGTTAACTGTAACACCACATTGTTAAATCATTGTGCAATTAGGCTTAAAAGATTCTTCTTGTAATTTACATGCAATCTGTGTAACTATTTTTTTCTATATTTAATACTTTATACATGTGTCTAAACATTCGATGTGACATGATAAAAAAATTTTGCGTGGTAACTAAACAGGGCCTTAGTAGCACATAATAGTGAATCATGGAACAATATCCACAAACACAATTTAAAACGAGCACTTTCGATTGACAGACATCTCACAATTAGAAACAAGTAATTTACTTCCACCGGCATTATCCCCAACCAAATGGCCTAGTGCGCCGCCACACGTCCAGACTATCGCAGATGGCCAGAAATCCATCCCAACAAGACAAACAGTATGGCTCTGTTTAGGGTGTGCTTAGTTCGTACCAAAATTAAAAGTTTGGTTGAAATTAGAACGATGTGATGGAAAAGTTGGAAGTTTGTGTGTGTATGAAAGTTTTGATGTGATGAAAAAGTTGGAAGTTTGAAGAAAAAGTTTGGGCCTTAGATCTCTAGCAAAATTTTTCACCCTGTCACATCGAATGTTGGACACATGCATGGAGTATTAAATATAAATGGAAAAGATAACTAATTATATAGATTGCCGTGTAAATTGAGAGACGAATATTTTAAGCCTAATTGCTCCATTATCTAACAATATGGTGCTACATTAAACATTTGCTAATGACGGATTAATTAGGCTTAATAAATTTGTCTCACAATTTACAGGCAGATTATGTAATTTGTTTTATTATTAGTTTATGTTTAATACTTTAAATATATGTCCGTATATCCGATGTGACACGCCAAAACTTTACACCCCTGATCTAAACACAGCCTATATCACCGGAACTAAACGATCACATTAGTCATCTTAACATGAGACGATCAAGGAATCATCACGAAACTATTTTAAACTCTCGAAAAGAAAATTCTCTCGTTATATGTTATCCAAACAGTTTAAAAAAAAGATATATTAATATATGATAAATCACTCCATAAACAATACAAGATCGTATTTAAATTTTGGAAATAGTACGAATTACCCCCTGAACAATTGCGGTCAGCCGAATTACCCCCTAAACCCGAAAACCAGTCATTGCTCACCCTGAACTTTCAATACCGGACGAATTACCCTCTCAATCTAATTCAGAGCGGTTTTGTCCTACGTGGTGTACGCGTGGCAATCTGGTCAGCATTTTCTTTCTAAAAAATTGTGGGACCCACCTGTCATACCTCTCCTTCCTCTCTTCCTCTCTCTCTCTATCTTCACTCTCTCTCTCTGCACGGTGACGGGGAGCGCGAGCGGCGCGTGGGGGCGGACTGGCGGTGGGCTGGCGGCGAGCGGCGCGCGGGGCCGGACTGGCGGTGGGCGGCGGCGCGAGCGGCGGAGGACGGCGGTGGGCTGGCGGTGAGCGGCGCGCGGGGGCGAACTGGCTGCGAGCGGCGGCGCCAGCGGCGGTGGACGGCGGTGGGCTGGCGGCGAGCGGCGCGTGGGGGCGGACTGGCGGTGGGTAACGGCGCGAGCGGCGGAGGACGGTGGTGGGCTAGCGACGAGCGGCGCGCGGGGGCGGACTGGCTGCGAGCGGCGGCGCGAGCGGCGGTGGACGGCGGTGGCCGGCGGCGAGCGGCGCGAGGGGGCGGACGGGCGGTGGGCGACGGCGCGAGCTGCGGCGGCGGGCACGAGCAGCTGGACAGGTTGGTGATGTCCCACACCAGCAGCGACTTGTCGCGGGAGGAGGAGACGATGAGGGGCGAGATGTCGATCGGCGCCGCGATTGCCATGACCATGTCGTTGTGGCCGCGCAGAACGCCCGCCATCGTCGCCGCGTGGGTGGAGAACCGGGGCTCTCGACGGCAGATGGCAGCGTGGAGGCGGCGGCGGCGGCGGAAGGGAGGCTAGGAGAGGAGGCGGCGGAGGGGAGAAGCTAGTCCGACCCCGCGCGCCGCTCGCGCTGCCGCTCGCCGCCAGTCCGCCCCCGCGCGCCGCTCGCGCCGCCGATCACCGCCAGTCCGCCCCCGTGCCTCGCTCGCGCCGCCGCTCGCTGCCAGTCCGCCCCCGCGCGCCGCTCACGCCACCGCCCACCGCCCGTCCGCCCCCGCGCGCCGCTCGCCGCCATTCCACCGCCGTCCTCTGCCGCTCGCGCCGCCGCACACCGCCAGTCCGCCCCCACGCGCCGCTCGCACTCCCCGTCACCGTGACACAGAGAGAGTGAAGATAGAAAGAGAGGAAGAGAGGAAGGAGAGTATGACAAGTGGGTCCCACAATTTTTTTAAGAAAGAAAATACTGACCGGATTGCCACGCGTACGCTACGTAGGACAAAACCGCTGTGAATTGGATCGAGGGGGGTAATTCGTCCGGTATTGAAAGTTCAGGATGAGCAATGACTGATTTTTGGGTTTAGGGGGGTAATTCGGCCGACCGCAATTGTTCAGGGGGGTAATTCGTACTTTTTCCTTAAATTTTATATGTTAAAAAACAAATTTAACAATAAATATATGTTAACAGTCGTTTAATTTATTTTCTTAATTTTAAAAGTTAAATTTTAACTTATTATTTATAAAGCGATACATCACATATTAATTTATCTTCCCCGATCAAAAAGGGCGAGCGAAGTAAGTGATCAAAAAACTTTGTTCTTTGTTCGTCCTATCTATAAGAGGAAATTTTTTAAAAGAAATTCATTTAGATAATATGTAAATAATGTGAGGACGTCCAAAAGTTTAAAAATCCACTCCACGTTCGCGTGAAGTGACTCAAGCCGGTGGATGCGCGCCGCACTTGTCCGAGTGCTCCTTGGTGTAGAGGTGCAGCACCATGTCGGTCTTGCCGGAGCAGCGCACGCCGCAGGGCTCGCACAGCAGCGCGCCGTTCGCCTCACGCAGCACCGCCAACATCCTCCCCTCCACCTGGACCTTCACCTGCTGCTGCCCGCCGGTGGCAGCCGCCGCCGCCGCGGCGTCGGCGGCCACCGGCGCGCCGCCATCTCTGGCCTCTGCAGTTTGGTCGACTTCCATGGGCGCCACAGAGCCATCGCCCGTTTGTGCAGCGACGACAGCTCGCGGCGCAGACGATGGCGAGGAGGCGGCGGCGGCGGCCGCCGTTTCCTTCGACCTGGCCTTCACAATCTCCATGTCGTCCATGGCCGCCTTTTCAGCCATCGATTTGTTCCTGTGCTTCTTTCCGGCTAGGTGTAGCCTCATGCCGCTCTCCGACGTCGCCATCACGTTGCAGGACGCGCACCCGAGGAACTCGCCGATCTGCTTGACGGCGTGGTGCTCGCCGCCGACGACGATGTCGACGGTTCCCTTCTCCGGACAAGTGTTGTCGGCGACGTTGTTGGTGGCGACACCTTCTGCTACTGCCATGGCTCCCGCCTCAAGGTTCCCGCCAACTTTGCCAGCAGCGGCCATGGTGGTGGAGGCGGCAGCTTCGGCACCCTTCGCCTTCGCCGTCGCCGCGGCCATGGACTTGTGCTTCCTCCCGGCGAGGTGCGACCGCATGACAGTCACCGACGGCGCCTTCACGTTGCAGACATCGCAGATAATGAAGACCTCGTCCAGCCTCCGCATGGCGTGTGGCTCGCCGTCGACCTCCACCACCACCGTTCCATGCTCGCCGTCGGCGGCAGCAGCTGTTGTTGGCGGCGCCCCCGCTGCTTTCACGCCATTCATAGGAGAGGCAGTCGCCGTCGCTGGCGCCGGCGGCTTCCCGGCTTGCTGCTGCTTCAGCTTCGTGGCCTTGGAGACGTGCTTGCCGCCGTCGAGGTGGCACATCATGGTGACGCGGTCGGCCGTCCTGACATTGCAGCCCTCGCAGAGGAGGTAGCCGTCCATCTGCATCACCTCGTACACGACTCCGGCGCTCGTCAGCATGCTCAGCTTCGTCGGACTGAAGCCGCCGCCACCGCCGCCGCCGCCGTCCGAAGCCGGCGGGATCATCGACGCCGCATCCTCCTCGTCCTGCTCGGGCTCGGGCTCGGGTTCCGCCGGCGGCGGCGGCGGCGGTGCAGACAGCGCGAGCGCGGCCGCCTTCTTCTTGTGGCTCTTCCCGTTGAGATGGTCCTGCATAGCCTTCTCGCCGGTCGACGTGATGCCGCAGACGGCGCAGGTCAGGTCGGCGGCCTTGGGCTTCTTGCTACTCGTCGCGGCGGAGACGGCGGACGCTGCTGCGGCGGGGTTCTTCTTCCTCTTGGCCGGCAAGGCGGCCGCCGATGATGATGCGTTTGCATTCGTGACGGCGCCCTGCGTGAAATGAACACGCTCGTCAACTTTTAGAACACGTATATAAGAACAACACGGAAGGAAGTATTCCCTCCGTCCTATACGGCGTCCTAATTAAGTTTTTGATTAATAATTATACTAACCATATATATACATATTATATTACTAGATTTATATTTTAAATATTTTTATATTAAGCTAATTTCATATTCGTCGGAAACATAACACGTAATAAATTAATGGTTAAAGTATATTATTAAAGATCGTGTAGAAAAAAATATAAACCTCATCATTTAGGACAGAGGGAATAGTGAATATTGACAACATCGATATAGTAAGACATAAAAAATTTTAAATCCAAAATCAAGTATACAAAATAAAAGAAATTCTAGTGCACAGTACCACCTTTTCAACTTAACTAACCTTCGTACTTAATACTTATATTTTAATACTTATATTTTGAAACAAAGATGGAGATAGAAATTAAGGTACAACAACACATACATAAATTAATATTAGAGCCATCCTTAAAAACAGAACCGAATGTTGTAGAAATAGTAAGAACTAGTAATATATTTAGACAGAGATGGAATTTTATCCATCCAGAGAATATTCTCTTGTTTTGTGCATTTTATTTAAAAAGTCATCAAAAAATATTTAAAAACTTGGCAAGATAGATGTCATTGCACAAAGTTGCCAAGTTCAAATTGGAATTAAACAATTATAGAAAGAAAAATAACAAATTTGACTGCAAATTGAAAGTTCTATTCCGAATCAAATTTGTTATTTTTGTTTCTACTTATATAAGTTGAATTTGAATATACATGTTCGTGAAGTGATATATCATATATTTATTTATCTTATTAATTTATTTAATATTTTTATGACCTTTTAAGTAGCATGAAAATCGAGAGGATATCCCTTCGAGTGATGAATAGAGTTTCCCTTTTTAGACATGTGAACATTGGAAGCCATATAGTACAACCCAGAACAATGACTATCTCAATTACGCTTGATCTCTAGATCCATGAAGATGTGGGTGGCAAGCCTTACAGGGTAACTGAATTATATTGCACTTGCGCACATAAGCATGGCCTATAAAATAGGACTTCAAACACACTGTTGGGATTATTTAGATAGTACTAGATAGTTCAGGATGTTATTATTTATATAGGTACAACTTATGAACTGGAGTAGACTGACCACAAAGTTGAGAAGGTTAAATAGATTTTCTTTCTAAATATCAACCACAACTCGTCTCATATGTTGTGAGTATAAATATATAGTTAATAATGGGAATATCATCCACAAACATTGCATGTTTCTTCAACAATAGATGGTCGCTGCAATTCAAAGTTTTTTTTTAGTTTTATAACAGTTTTGATCATATCCTAGTAATAGAAAGGCATGTGGTAGATTAATAGCACCTAGTCTATTTAGATACATGAACATTGGGGGGGGGGGGGATATACAACAAATCAGGAACTATGACTATATATCATATCTCATTTACCCAAGAACTCTCTAAGGCTCTGTTTGGGAGTGAGGGTTGGGAACCATCACTCCCCGGCACACAAAACGAAGCAACGTTTTAGTGCGTGATTAATTAAGTTTTAGCTTTTTTTTCAAAAATAGATTAATATGATTTTTTTAAGCAACTTTCGTATAGAAACTTTTTGCAAAAAACACACCGTTTATGTCGACGTTTGATGTCACGACTACGGTATTTGGACAGTATGGGGATCGTTGGTGCTAGGATATACGCGAGACTGAGGCAAAAGAGATGGAGACAGGGATTTTTATACAGGTTCGGGCCCCTGAATTGTTAGGTAATAACCCTACATCCTGTTGGCCAAAGCCGGTATTGCTTTTATTCATGATAATCACACCAGTACAATGTTTGGGGTAGCCTATCTAACTGTTATCGACATGGCGGTCTGACGATCTGACTCGTAGTCAACAACAGGGTAGTCTTCCTCCTCGAATCCGCGCCCGGCGAGATCAGAGATAACGCTTTCGTCTCTCCTGACAGTATCTGGAGACACCGTAGGGTACTAGTCGTGCTTATCCCTGAAGTCGATATCCGGCGGCGTGTCTTGGCATATGTAGGCTTCTATATTGTGGCTTCTATGTCGATTGTATTGGGTGTTGATCGTCTCATGATGGTTGTCCCCCTGTCCTCCTAGGGGGGCTTGTATTTATACCCATAGTTGTCCCCTTGTCCAAGTAGAACTAGGGAAACCAATATGGATACAATCCGAGTAGTCCTTGTCATTTTCATGTAGAACTCTGGTTGTCTTTCATTATCCAGAACTCCTCCTATATCCGAAGGTTGCTTCTGTATAGGACATGGTATGTGGTGGATCCTGCCGAGATTTAGTCAACTACTATTAGGTATGTGGTATCATAACCCTGACAGTTTAGCAGTTTAAAAAGCGTGCGCGCGGAAAACGAGGAGTTGGGTACCTGTACTACCGAACTGAGCCTAAAAATAGATCCACGAGGATGTTGCAAGCCATACAGTCAAATGAATTATATTGCACTTACAAGCGTAATCGTGGACTATGAAACCAACCTTCAAAATCTACTGTTGGGATTATTTAGACGGTATTAGATAGTTCATGGTGTTGTTCATATAGTTACAACTCATGAATTGGTGTAGACTGGCCACCAACATTGAGAAAACCAAATAGATTTGTTTCTAAATATTATCCACAACTTGACTCATATGTTGTGAGTATGAACACGGTTAATAATGCAAAATATCATCCACAAACATTGCATGTTTCTTCAACAATAGATGGTTGCTGCAATTTCAAAGTGTTTTCTTAGTTTTTTAACAGTTTGATCATATCTCGATAATAGAAGTGCATGTTGTAGATTAATAGAAACTAGTTTATTCAGATACATGAACATCGGGGGCCAATATACAACAAATCAGGAACTGTGACCATCTTAGTTACCCATGAACTCTCTAAAAATAGATCCACGAGGATGTGGCAAGCCATACAAACAACTGAATTATATCGCACTTGCAAGCATAATTATGGCCTATGAAACCGACCTTCAAAATCGACCGTTGGGATTATTTAGATGGTATTAGATAGTTCATGTCATTGTTCATACAGTTACAACTCATGGATTGGTGTAGACTGGTCACCAATGTTGAGAAAACCAAATAGATTTGTTTCTAAATAGGAAAAAGTACGAATTACCCCCCCGAACTATCGTGGTCGTCCGAATTACCCCCTGAACCACAAAACCGGACATTCTTCACCTCGAACTTTCAATACCAGAAGAATTACCCCCCTTGACCCCGTGGCATACACGTGGCAGTCCAGTCACCATTTTTTTTAAAAAAATTGGTGGGGTCCACCTGTCATGCCTCCACTTCACCTCTTCCTAATTTCTCTCTCCGTTCTCTCTCACTGGTGCACGCGGGCGCAACAACCGCGCAAGTGCGGAGGGGACGACAGCGGCGAGTGGGGGCGGCGCAAGTGCGCACAGCGGCGCGGAGCCGCGGACGACGACGGTGCGTGGGGGCGCGCGGCGGATGACGGCTAGTAGGGGCGGCGCAAGTGCGCACGGTGGCGCAGAGCTGCGGACGACGGCAGCAAGTGGGGGTGGCGCAAGTGCGCACAGCGGCGCGGAGCCGCGGACGATGGCGGCGCGTGGGGGCGCGCGGCGGACGGCGGCGAGTAAGGGCGGCACAAGTGCGCTCGGCGGCCCGACGCCGTGGACAACGGCGGCGCGTGGGGGCAGGCGGCGGACGGCGGTGCACGGGGGCCGTCGGGGTCCCGCATCGTCTTTCCAGATCCGCACGGCCTCCGCCCCCGTCCGCCGCCGGTCCCGCACGAACATGCTCGCCGGCCCAGCCTTCTCCCTCGTGCGCTGTCGCCGCCGCCGGTGCCCCCTCGTGCGAGCGCGGCCCTGGAGCGCGGGAAGAAAGCGACGCCGCCGTGTGCCTCCCCGTGCGCGCGCGGCACCGTCGCCCCCAACTAGTCTGCCCCCGGCCGTCGCCGTCCTCGGTCCCCCTCCGCTGCCCCTGGTGCTCAAGCACTGAAGCAGCTCCTCGCCGAGGCCCACGCCGTGCTCCGCCGCCGCGACACGACCCGCCTCGCCTCCACATTGCGTGACCTCTCCTCTTCCGCCGTAGCGACGTCCGACTCCGGCGAGGCCGCGCTACCGCCGCCGGCTCCGTGTCACCCTCATCCCCCACCGCCGCCGCCTCAGCGTCACCCGCCGGCCACCGCCGCCGCAGCTCCGTGTCCGCCTCCCGCCCGTGAGAGAGGAATAGTGAGAGAGAGAGAAGAGAAGAGAGAGGAAGAGTGAGAGAGAGGAAGAGTATGACATGTAGGTCCCGTTATTTTTTTAATGAATAGAATGCTGACTCAGCTGCCACGCGTACGCCACGTAGACCAAAACCACCGTGGATTGGGTCGAGAGGGTAATTCGTCCGGTTTGCATAGTTGGGGGTGAAGAATGTCCGGTTTTGTGATTCAGGGGGGTAATTCAGACGACTGTGATAGTTCGGGGGAGGTAATTCGTACTTTTTCCTTCTAAATATCATCCACAACTGGACTCATGTTGTGAGTACGACCATATAATTAATAATGTGAAATACCATCCACAACTTTAGTATTTTGACAGTGTATGTTTCTAAAACAATAGGTGGTTGACACAATTTCTAAGTGTTTTCTTTTCCAGTTTTCTAACTTTTTTTTGACCAAGAGTTTTCTAAAGAGGAGAGCATATATCCTTGAGGTTTCATAGCACACCTCATTTCGGTGATTGCATTAATTTCTATCCATAAACGACACGACTTGAAATTCATTGCTTTTAAACAATAGTATTAATCTTCCTATTGTGCTTCTTCATCGGCATGTCATCGCAAATCCCAAAGCAATTTACATAAAAATGTACTATATTATACTCCCTCAATCTACTTTTGATAGACATATTTCCAAATCTGAAAAATTTAGTTTTGATAGACATATTTCAATCCAACCACCTATCCTCTTATTGACTTTCTCGGATTTAATGCGTGACTCTCTATTCTTCTACACATGATTGTCTATTCTTCTACACATGATTGGCTACATGGGCATTGAGAAACGTAAATATTAATGAATCGCGTGTTTACAAGGAATAACTAGTAGAATATTTAAATGGATAATAAATAGAATTACTTATTCTTAGGTCATTGTGAAGATGAAATATGACTATAGTAATGAATCCATATATGGATTATCAATCCTATTAGTATATTATTCATAAAAAAGTTATATTGTCATCAAATAAGACATGTAATGGAAAAACATGAACGATCGAGATACACGTTACTCCCTCCATTCCAAATTGATCTACATATAGGTTTTTTTAAGGTTATTCCTAAATGATCTATATATATTTATGTTTATTCATTAAGTCTATTCGTTATTTGTGCATTGGAGTAAATGGACATTGATGCATGCATCCATGCACATAAGGGGGTGTTTGGGAGAGAGGGGCCACCCCCTAAGTATATATAACCCACATGCAATATCTTGATTTGTTATTGACTAGGAAATAGTGGGGATGGTGCATACATTGAGTTTGTTGCTCGAGTAAATATAGTATGAGAGAGTTATTATTTTTTTTTGTTTTGGTGCACCTATAAAATAATCAATTTGGAATGGAGGGAGTATACAATATTATTATTTGATCTCTATAGCTTTTGTAAAATGTCTAAGGGTATGGTCTTCATTACACGGTCTATATTAATTTAACGGAACATTTAGTGGTACGCTATTAGTCCAAGCGGCTAGTCGGAGCAGTAGGAGAAGGTAAGCTAGAATCTAGAAACAAATATTCAATATCGATCAAAATTAAAACAACCCAAAATCGAGGTAGACGAAAAAAGACATGATGATCGAACCTGCAGGAGCGCCGCCGCCGCCGCCGGCGTCGGCGGCCGTGCATTCCCAGATCTCCTCAGCAACGGGAAGATGTGCTCCATGATCTCCCGGCGGACCTCCGACTCGAGCTCCCATTCCTCCGCCTCCTCCCGCAGGATCCGCTCCATTATCTTCTGCTTCTTCGCCTGCCGCAGCTCGTCGCGACCAGCCGCCGACGGTGAAGACGACTGCCCCAGCGACACGGCCGAATCACCCCCGTTGTAGTCTCCCGTGCCCCCGCCGTCTGCGCCACGATGCCCATCGTCTGATCAAGAAAGGAAACGATACCAAAAAAAAAGACGCAGATAGCGAGATCGATCGATCGATCGAGAATAATTAATTAAGTAACCTTCGTTGGCCGGGAGCACACGGGCGGATCCAGAGCTCGCCGTGGGCGGCGGCGGCGGGGGAGGGGAGGACCGGCTGCGGTCGTCGCCGTCGCGGTACCGGAACTCCATGGCGGTGCGGGTGCGGGTGCGGGTGCGGGTTCTACCGGGGTTTTGCGGGATGCGAAGCGCGTGAGCGCTCGGGGTGCGTACTTATCGTACGAGGAGGAGGTAGGGGGATCGAAACGGCTCGCACGCGGACGATCTGATCCCGTTCAATTCCATCTTACTTTTTGGGCCTTCCCTAATTTCTTTTGGAAAAAAAAGTACACCGAAGTTTCCCAACTCATGTCTGATGTGACCATAGCTACTATGGATACGACCATTGCTCACATCATGAATCAACAAGAAGATATCAAGATCAAGTCCTCCAAGTGCTGGAATCCGATTCGGCCACCTACTACACTGCTGACTTCAAACGGCTGCCGAATCTGCATACGACCTCCGTTTTCGGCCCGTGAGTACTTGATGGAAAGCTCTTGGAGTCCTCTTTCCAATGGATCCAGCCTCATTGCAAAATTCCATCTTATTGAGCCGCAATTGAAGCAACAAGGTGCTGCGTCACCTATAATGGGCCTATGGGCTTGTAACTTCGTCTGGGACCCCGGCCCAGGTGGGGCCCATGTGGGGTGCGCCCCAGCCAGGTGGAGCACGATCAAGTCCTCCATGTGCTGCAATCTGATTCGGCCACGTGTTACATTGCTGACTTCAAACGGCCGCCAAATCTACATACGTGCTCCGTTTTGGGCCCGTGAGTACTTGATGGAAAGCTCTCGAAGTCCTCCTTCCAACGGATCCAGCCTCATCTCGGAAATCTATCTCGTTTGGCCGCAATCACAAAAGCAAGGTGCTGCGTCTCCTGTATTGGGCCAATGGGCTTGTAACTTTGTTTGGGACCCTGGCCCATGTGGGGCCCATGTGGGGTGCGCCCCAATCTGGTGGAGCATGACCCTTGGACCCTCTTGGTCATCCTCCCACCTCTATAAATAGTTAGGTACCCCTTCAGGGTTTCTTGGGTTTTTGATAGATTAAAGTTTAGCCATTGCTACTTGCTTGCAGCGCGCGTGTCGGCTAGACCGTCCGTCTGCTTGTTCTTTGGAACCCCAACTTATCATTTGTATTAAATTCCTATTTGCAATATCAGATTGCTTTTATCTTGTTCTTGCTTGTTTCTTCGATTTGCTTGCAGGAATAGGGTTTATCTGCACCGGCAAGATCAGCAACCCACGGAGAGGTGTATCGATCGCTAAGGCGCAACACAACGTCTCGTACGGTTGTAGTCGGATCGTCAACGTTTCTCCCAAATCGTAGTTATCACAACTCACCGAAAGATCGGGCCAACAATAGCCTTGAGTGTTGAGAGGAACTCAGGGTTCATCAGGTGGTATCAGAGCTTTCGTTGCTCGGTGAGTTTTTATCTTCCTATAACCAGAAAATAGCCATACAAAAAAATTCGTATCATTTACCTAGCCATATTGTGCCATTGCATTGTTCTTTTCAGTTTTTGCTTTGTTGAATTTTGTGTTGCATCGTCACGTCGTGTTGCTGGTCTTAGCGTCTAGTTCGTTTAGAGTCTCGAGTTCTGGTCACGTTTTGTACCACAGTCGTCGCTGCCACCGTGTCTCTGTTGTTGTCGGGACCTACGAAAACGGAATCGGCTCGCTGCCACGGTTCTATTTTTGTAGTTTTCAGAAGTTTCTATCGGTTAGTTTTGGAGTTCTTGAGTTGCATCTAGAGTTTGCCGATCCTTGTGTGTGTTTGTTTTGGCCGTGCCTGTGTCGTGCACGAGAGGAGGAAGGTGAATTACCATATCTGATTTTGGAAGTAGTCAAGTTTGTTTTGGAAAGATATAGTAGATTGGATTGGTTAAAAATCAGTTTCCTTTTTATCCCATACACCAAATTCGGCTGCCATCCACTCCACCTCCTGGCCGAGTCCCACTCGCCCCTTTGGCCGAGTCCGACTCCCTCCCTCTCTTCCACCGTTCCGAGTTGTGTCAAACACCTTGGCGAATTTTTGTTTGGTGTCGGTTTTGAGATCTGTTTGGAAAAACGGAACCGGCATAAATTCAGCATTCCATTTTTTGTATAATTTTAATTTTGGGTTTAGACTTTTACATTTGAGTCCCTATAAATTTTATATTTATGTTTGAGTCCCTGTAATCTTACATTAAGGTCCTTGAGTCAGTTTTTGTTAAAAAAAATAAGAAAAAAAGTGAGAAAAAAAAGGCAGAAAGGTGAAAAAAAAAAGAAAAAAAAAGCCGCACCAAAAAAAATCAGAAAAGAAAAGGAAAAAAAAAGAAAAGAAGAAAGAAGAAAGAAAGAAAAGAGAAAATATTGTTTTGTTTGAGCTGAACTTCATACATCAGAGTGTGCTTGAGTTGTTTCTGGTGCTATTTTGTGGTACCGTTTGTGTCTAGGCTCGCGTCTCTAGTACGTTCTAGCCTAGGACCAGCACGGTACTTGACTTTGAACAATTATTCAACTTTGCGTTCTCTGATTTGAGCATTTGCTATTCCTTTGCTACATATTTAAGCCTACCCAGAGCTCCACAGATTTGATTGCAACCGTACGGCAAGTGTTTGCCGAGGCATCGATATATCCAACCTCTATTGGGGTGCTTGGTTGAGTCGGTGTACATCACCATTCCACTTGCATTGGTAAGATCTTGTAAGAGCTTGGTTAAAAGCTTGAGTGTGTGTGTGAGATTTGAGCTGCCAGTACCTAGTAGTTGATAGGAGCGTGTATATTCTTGTGTATGTTTCTTGTTTGCTGCTAACCATGGCAGGATTGCGCAAGGGGAAACAAGATGGTCATGCTCAACGTCAACATCTACACCTTCGACGAGATATGACGACTTCTTCACGTGATGCATATGAGGTACATGACTATAATTTTGCACAAGTTGCATGTAAGTTACCAGTCTATGATGGAAAGTATGATTCCGCTGCATACATTAATTGGGAGCTAGCAGTAGAAAAACAATTTGATGAGTATGATTTTTCTAATGCTCAAATGATTAAGGCTGCTAGTAATAAGTGTACCGGTTCTGCATCTTTTTGGTGGCATACTGTGGGGAATAAGCTTGAAACTTGGGATGAATGCAAAATACTGATGAGAAAAAGATTTGTGTTTTCATACTATAGACGTGCTCTCCTTGAGAAATGGGAACATCTAAAACAAGGTGACAAAACTGTTAGGGAGTACTTTCATGATTTTAAAATTTGTATCACTTATAGTGGTTTACAAGAATCTAATGAGAACACAATGACTAGATTTTTCAGAGGGCTTAATTTCAATATTCAGGCTGGGCTTGTTAATGTGACATATAATCATATAGGCCAATTGTTCATGCTTGCTTGTATTGTTGAGCGCAAAATTTTGGAGAATCCAATGGAGCAACAAGATATGCTTGTGCCTCCTATCACTGATGTTTTGCAGGAAGTTCAGAAAAGTCTCCAAAATGAGAAGAACGATATGTTTGAGATGTCATTTCCATCACTCGCGAATGAGGAGAAGGCTGATGCAGCTACATTATCTGAAGAAAGTTCGCAAGGTAAATTAAATGGTGCTGAGAGAAATGAAGGTGAGTATTCTCAAGGTGAGCTACACTTGTCCACTTTTCATGCTATAGTAGAGCAACCATTAGTGGAATCAATTACTGAGTTGCCTTTGTCACAAGTTGATTTACTTGCTGTTCCTTGTGATAAAGAAGAGTTGTGTGATAATGTTTCACTTATATCCATGCCACAACTAGTGAATGAACATGTTAGTTCTACTATTTCTTTGTGTGCTGATTCTAAGCATGTTGTTCACATTGCTAATGAAGTAGAGGAACGCGAATTGCTATCTTCTTTAAATACTTTGGGCTATGTTCAGTTTGATGATTTTTGTGAGCTCGATAATTTGAAGGAGAAATTATTTGCTAAATCTGATTTGCCATGTCCAACTAATGCTATTTTTCATATCTTTGGCGAATATAATGATAGAGGAATATTTTTGGTGTATAGAGTTTACATTTGTTCAGATTTAGAACATCTTGTAGTTCCGGATAAAATATGCAAGCTAGAGAGACATGTTACTGCTAATCATATTGTCTCGAGTTTGTCTTGTTTTGATTGCAAGAAACAGGTTGTTTTCAGTGGACTGCGCGAAGAGCACCATATGGAAAAACCGAGGACGGTTTTCTGTGAAGAAGGGGAGGATGATGTGACCATGGCTACTATGGATACGACCATTGCTCACATCATGAATCAACAAGAAGATATCAAGATCAAGTCCTCCAAGTGCTGGAATCCGATTCGGCCACCTATTACACTGCTGACTTCAAACGGCTGCCGAATCTGCATACGACCTCCGTTTTCGGCCCGTGAGTACTTGATGGAAAGCTCTTGGAGTCCTCTTTCCAATGGATCCAGCCTCATTGCAAAATTCCATCTTATTGAGCCGCAATTGAAGCAACAAGGTGCTGCGTCACCTATAATGGGCCTATGGGCTTGTAACTTCGTCTGGGACCCCGGCCCAGGTGGGGCCCATGTGGGGTGCGCCCCAGCCAGGTGGAGCACGATCAAGTCCTCCATGTGCTGCAATCTGATTCGGCCACGTGTTACATTGCTGACTTCAAACGGCCGCCAAATCTACATACGTGCTCCGTTTTGGGCCCGTGAGTACTTGATGGAAAGCTCTCGAAGTCCTCCTTCCAACGGATCCAGCCTCATCTCGGAAATCTATCTCGTTTGGCCGCAATCACAAAAGCAAGGTGCTGCGTCTCCTGTATTGGGCCAATGGGCTTGTAACTTTGTTTGGGACCCTGGCCCATGTGGGGCCCATGTGGGGTGCGCCCCAATCTGGTGGAGCATGACCCTTGGACCCTCTTGGTCATCCTCCCACCTCTATAAATAGTTAGGTACCCCTTCAGGGTTTCTTGGGTTTTTGATAGATTAAAGTTTAGCCATTGCTACTTGCTTGCAGCGCGCGTGTCGGCTAGACCATCCGTCTGCTTGTTCTTTGGAACCCCAACTTATCATTTGTATTAAATTCCTATTTGCAATATCAGATTGCTTTTATCTTGTTCTTGCTTGTTTCTTCGATTTGCT